CCGTTTCAAGATAGCGGGAGTGCGCAGATGCCGGAAATGATGGGACGAAGGTCAGTGGCGTCACTTTCGGCTCCACACCAAAACAGACTGTTTACACATTGAGTGACAAGACAAAGACAAAAACCTATTTTTTCCAAATTACTTTTTTTTTGACTGACAGTTTTAAAGCAACAAAGATAGTTTTAGGGTAATTTGACATTTTTGTAACATACATTTTCTTTCATTCATTTCAAACATTTTCATTCAACAGTACAACAAATGTTGAATAACAACCAACAAGAGTGAATAATGGACCCCTCAGGAATCGTGAAGAGACCCTAAAACGTAAACCATGTTTTTAAAAGTTCTGATCATACATACGGCGCGATCAAAAGTTCTTAGCGGATAAACTGTGGTGCGACACGTCTCACAGTGCAGAGGCGTAGGGTTCGATTCCGACTCCGGCCTTCCTGTGTGGGGTTTGCATGTTCTCTCCGGGCCTGCGTGGCTTTTCTCCGGGTACTACGGTTTCCTCCCACATTCCAAAGACATGCACCGTAGGTTAATGGAGGGCTTTTGGTCACCCGCAAAACTTGGAAAAATCTTGCCTTCACACCTTGAACAGAACGCTGATGAAATGAACGAGACATTACAAGCAATGGAGAATTGCTTTCTTGACTATCTTTGGCATGTTTCAAAAAGTGGCCGAATTTTAAAGTGGCCCTTTCCCACTTCCATTTTTCTGTACGCATGCGGCCCTCAAACTAAAAAAGTTTGGTGGAACACCCCTGGCATGAAACATATTACTGTCAAGTCAATATTTGACGTCACAGTTTAGCGGGCCGATCGCTGGTGACACACTGCGCTTCCTTTGCATTTAATTGAGAAGACAAGAAAGTCATTCACAAGACGGAGACGGTACTGCGATCACATCGCCGAGGACCAATTTGCGACGTCTCGCACGGTGTTGACACGTGTGCCGCGTTGCGTGCTGAGCTCTCGCCACCCCTCAGGTGCAGACCCACCTGGAAAACCCAACCCGCTACCACATCCAGCAGGCCCAGAAGCAGCAGGTCCGACAGTACCTCTCCTCCGCCATCAGGCCGCCCAGTCGCAACGCTTCGGGACCGTCGTCGGACTCTTCCCTCAGCAGCCGGCATGCTCTCAGCAGCCCCAAAGTGGAGGTAACGCAGACGGGAGCGCGTGCGTTTGTCTCCGCGCGTTCGCGCTCTAAAGTTGGTCCAATTGATGACTCATGTGGGACGTGGGCTGAAAATGGCAACGCTAAGCAAAAAGGGACATGTTGGTGCACAAGATTTTGTACTTCTGGATTGACATTTTTAATCAGGATTTCTTTTCCCCCCACTAACTGGTGCTCCTATTTCCCATTCAAGGGATGCAGCAACATTTCACAACTTTGACCGTTTTCTGAAAGGGTGGCTTTCTATTAAAATAGAACTTTGTGTCGCTGCCAGTGTTAGCTCATGGTATGTGTGCAAAAAAGCAGGTGTGTTGTCTTTCATGTCCAACTTCATCAGTCTTTTCTCTGAGAAGTCCGTGTCCAGACTCGGCGTAATTCAACCCCAAACCCTTTCTGATTGGCTCTTTGAGATGGAGGAGACGGTCATCGATGACATCATCAGCCTGGAGTCCAGCCTCAGCGACGACTTCCTCACCTTGCTCGACTCACGGCAGCAGCTTGCTACAACGGTAATGCTCAGCCCCCTCCTCCAATGCCTGCTGTGCGTGCGTGCGTGTGTGTTTTGTGCGAGGGAGTCTGAAAATGCTTTAGAGAGAAAGAGAGAGAGAGAGAGAGAGAGAGAGAGAGAGAGAGGTCTTCCTGAGTGTGAGTTTGAGTGTGTAAGTTTCAGTGAGGGTGTTTGAGGGTGTTTGACTGTGTGTGTGTGTGTGTGTGTGTGTGTGTGTGTGTGTGTGTGTGTGTGTGTGTGTGTGTGTGTGTGTGTGTGTGTGTGGTGTCTGTGTGTGTGTGTGTGAGCATGGAAGAGTCTGTGTTTGTGAGAGTTATGTGTATGTCTGAGATTGTTTGCCTATGAGAGTGTGTGTAATAGAGCTCGTCTTTGAACTCATTCAGTACCAGCCAATTCTGGACCAAGTCTGAAAAGACGTTTCAAAACGTCTTTGGGAGTGAATGAGTTAAGAGTGTGTCAGAGAGTGATAAAGTGTGCGAGTGCGTTTGAGTGTGTGTGTTTGCGCGTGCGTGCGTTTTTGTGTGTGATTCTGAGGGCGAAGCAGAAACAAAATTGATGAGGTGGCGTTTTCCCGCCTTTTGTGATGCTTACGCAGCTCTGACTCCTTCCTCTTCCTGGGCACTTGTGCGTGTGTGTTTTTGCGAGTGAGCATGTGCCAATAAGGCTGCCGAGGGAAGTTTGTTTTTTTTTCTTCTGAAGGGATGTTTCCTCACTTTTTAACAGTCGCTGAAGAGAAACAGACAAGTCGTACCACTGATTTGCCTGTGCGCACGCTTTGCATGTGTGTGTGTGTCCATGTGCGTGAGTGTGTTTGTGTGCATGTGTGCGAAGCGATGAGGATTTTAGTTTTCCTGCAGGAGCATGATAAGAGGAGACTTAAAGCAGAGGTAATGTCTTTGTTCTGAAACGTTGCGACAGTGGGACAAACTCTTTTTTTTTTGTTGTTGTTTTGTCTCAACTTGGGGGTCATTTTTATTTGAGCTTCGATACACAATACACTTGCGCAAGTTTATTATTTCAAACCAAGTGAAATTGGCAATAACGTGATAGTTAATGACATGTTTGCTGTTGATTGTGTGAAGTTAGCGTTTCGCATCGATATCTGTTCGGTGAGTTCCAAGAAAGTTGGAACGATCGCATATTATGGAAAACTGCCTTTCTAACGTGTGCGTGCGAAGAGTTGTGGGTCTGGAGCGCCTGTTCTCCGCCTATTTCTGTAAATGTGTTTGTGAGCTTGCCCTTCCTTAAGTTTGCCGCGCTGTTGCCAAACACTCGAGCTAATTTACATCATGTAAATTAGAGTTTCTCAGGCAATTCGGGGGTAAAAACGCCACTTTCAAGCATCATGTCAAAGCCGAAAGCTCGACGGAGCTGTCGTGTTAGCATGTATTAGCATGAGAGCACGCTGTTACCATCGTTACCTTCTGATTATAATGTTCGATGTCGCGGTGGGCGGTATTTCCGTTTGGCCATGTCAACGCCTGTCCCACACCGCTACGATAATGGTACGTGCACACCAAATCCGCTGTGAGCGTTCCGCCTCGCTTTATTCGCCAGCTTTTGACCGCGGGAGTTCCTGGCGACTTGATTCGCGCTCAGCGAAGAAGGGGCGGGGTTTCGCTCGCTAGACGAGAGCAGTAAGTACCAGCCATTTTGCAAAGAGCCACAGGGGACCAATTGGTTGATGCTGTAGATCTGGCTAATGCGACACATTGGTACAATAAAATAATAATCATAAAATAATAATAATAATAATACCCCAAGCCAGCTCCCATTTATTTTATGTTGCGCTACTGGTAGCTGGCCAAGTTGTACAGCTGACCGCAAGGGAAAGCGTGTAAAAAGTTTCGTTTATTTTTTCGCTCTGGCCAATAGACGAACTGAGCGGATTTTCGGTGCACGTGGATGCGCACGCTTCCCCTCCGCTCCAAGCGCGTCATCCGCCGCGCGAACTGCATTGACTTGAATTGAATGGCACGTAGCATTAGTGGTGTGTTTCGGTGGCTGGGAGAAAAAAATCCTGCCTCCACCAGTGATAATGCGATGGAGTCTGCGGGCACGTGAGATAGTTAGCATTAGCTTCTTATTACTATACGTCTAAATGTGTGTATTACTATGAATGGCTGAGGTAGTTTGATAAAAACATTTCGCAGATGTGGTCAGCGAATTGTTTGATTGCTTTTCAATTGTGTCAACATATAGAAAATGTCAAGCGAGCGAATGATCGTGTTTTGTCGTCTCTTGGCACCTGCAGCTCAGTGGTTAGTTTAGCAGTTAGTTAGGCAGAGCCTGAGGAACAGGGGGGCACTTTTGGGCCTGCTGTAGATATGCCCCATATGCTTAGCTGAGCGGTCGCATCATTATTTGTAGCAAGCCATCAAAATGATTTATGGTGATTGATATGCTTTGTTTTTCAGCATGGTTGCCTTTTTTTGTTGTTGTTTGTTTTGGGTAGTGTGCACCCACATTCTCCACAATTCCGCTGTCCCTGCTGTTAGACTTCATGTTTCTGTTCGTCGACGCTCACCTTAGCCACCGGAGCGACTTCATCCGTCCGCTTTTGACTCTGCGCTTTGATTGGTTGTTCCAGCTGCCGGTGGTGGCGGGAAACATGCCGGATGCCTACGGGGAGAGCGGCGGAAAAGCCACGCCCCCAAGCGCCG